GTGATGAAGAAATTTTTGTAAAACAAAAAAAAAACAATTTCTTTTTCTTTTTTTTTATTTTTTATTTTCTTTTGTAGAATACTGAACTAATTATATCTAATACACTTGATTGGGATTTAGCTTATTTTATACCACATGATTATATACAATTATTATTTAAATATTTTTTACCATTAGAAAATCATATTCAACAACTTTGTTTACATGTTCATATACTTCTATCACTTGCAATATGTGGTAAAATAAATTTTCCTTTTTTTTTTTAAATGAATATTTTTTTGTTTTGTTTTCGATTAGAATTAAATACATTAACAATACGTCCAAGTATTCTTGCATGTGCATGTATAAAAGCAGCTATAAAAGGTCTTTCATTAAAAAATATTCATCAAATTGATGAAATAATATTAAAACTTATACATTGTAATCAAATTGAATTAAGTCATACATATTATATGATTGAACAATTATTTCAATCATATTTACAAAATATAAAACCATCATCAAAACGTCGTTGTTTAGTACCAATTGATACAAGTTCACAACAACTTACAAAAGTTAAATAAAATTTTACACAAAAAAAAGATTTATTATAATTTTTTCCTTTTTTTTTTGTTTTTTTAAATATTTTTGTCTAAAGAAATAAATAAACCTTATAGAAAGAAAATTATTCTTCCATGAACATTGAGTTTCATTTCATTTTATTGATACGTTTTATTTCTTCGATTGAAATGAGAAAGGTGAATACATATTATATAATTATTCAAGGGATAATGATGATTTCATGTTGAGTGGCTACTTTAAATAATACTTGTTGTTTGTTAAGATTTTCTTTTTTTTTTTGCTTTCGTATGCGTTTCGTCAAACATGACAAATAACTTTATATTTCCGATCGATCAATGACTTGTTGTTTCAAATATCCTGTGGTGAGATGAACAAGTGAAACCATTCATTAAGAAGGAAGTGAACATGCTGTGTGAAAAAAAGGAATTGTTCAAAAGAACATTTCCTAACTTGAAAAATAAATGAGATGAAGAAAAATAATCGATGAAAATTTTTTTTTTTAATAGTTTTATTTGAATGATATGTTATTGTTATTCTTATACAATCATGAAAGATATCGTTTTGAATAGAAAGATGACGGTTTCTGATATCTAATGAATTAGAATATTGATGAAATCTTGCATTTCTTGATAATAAATTAATATTTCGAAAGAAAAATAGCGCCTATTCCACCAAAAACGGATGTTCACAAGAAAACTTCCGGTGGAATTCGATTAGTCAAATAAGATATACGGATGATTTCGTGTATTCATCCTGAACAACTATTAGTTACTCGATTGACTGAATTAATATTCATTTAATTATAGTTTCTAAAACTGAATAACTAGAACTACGAACTTGGATCATATCATAAGAACGTTAACATACATGATTGATTTTATAGTGTAATTAAATCTCATCCAAAAGTGCATTACTAAAGTAAAAGATTATTACAGAAAATTATCATTAGTTTATTTACGAATTCTTCATTTTGAAACTTTTAATATCCTTGAATATTACCATTCTATTTTTTAATGTACAATTCAAAAAAAAATTAATTCTATTCAAATTAATTTGATAATATTATCGAGAAAATCTTTTGTTTTTCGTCAAAACAGAATATACAGAAATATCATATGATGTTAAATTCAAGCGCTTTTTGATTTAATCATCAATCTTCATATTGATCAAACCTATTCAACACGTTCATAAGTTTTTTTACGATTAATTGTATCCAATAATCGATATCTTTTCTTCTGTTATTACTTTTAAAAGTTACAAAAAGAAAAATGCTTTCGCTTACTTCATATCCAAATGATCATCTATAATCATGTGAAACCTGTACGTATTGGGTTGTCAACTAATTTTTGTCGTTTTTTTCTAAAATTTTATTTTTATTTTTCCACTCCAAAGATACAACTAGTTTTCAGAGATATATTCACCACTACTATCTATCACTTGTTGCCAACGTTCTGGCAGGGATAGAATCCCGCGTTCGTAGAAGTCCTTGGATTTCTGATCGAAGAAGTTGACGAGTTCCATTTTTAAGTCGTTCTCATCGTCGAACTTTTTCTCACGTAAATGGTTCGAAAGAGAACGAAACAAATGGTAGTCTGTTGGAGCCAAGTCAGGAGAATAAGGTGGATGAGGAACGGTAACCCATCCGAGCTTCAATAATTTTTCGCGGGTGGACTTTGCAATATGAGGTCTGGCATTATCATGCAAATAATAAATTTTATCCTGCTTTCCCTTGAGTTTTTCGGCAACTCGGTCTAATTGTTGACAGTAGAGATCAGCAGTGATAGTGCATCCATTTGGAAGAATTTCCCAATGAATAATTCCATTGACACCCCACCAGACGCTCAGCATCACTTTCTTGGGATATGAATCAGTCTTAGGTGTTGCTATGCCTTTTTGACCAGCACTTAACCACTTGTGCCTGTAATTATAGTTGATATATAACACCCACTTCTCATCGCCAGTGATAAGATTGCGGAGCCATTGGTAGTTGCGATGAGATGTCATTAAATCCATACAAGCATCAACCCTGTGTTGAAGCTGATGCGGTGATAACTCGTGAGGTATCCAAACTCCATATTTCCATGTCTTGCCTAATTCGTTCAGATGTTTTTCCACCGCAGTATGAGAGCACCCAAGCTGCTCTGCTAAACACCGTAAAGTCAATCGAGGATCTTCTTCGATAAGCTGCTTTAAAAGATCCACATCGAGTTCCATTGGTCTACCGGAGTGAGGTAAATCGTCGAGTTCAAAATTATCGTTCTTAAAACGATTGAACCAACGTTGTGCCGTACGGATGGAGAGTACATCCCCGCCCATCGTGCTGCATATGTTGTTGGTTGCTTCCGTTGCTCTGCGACCCAGACGGAATTCATGAAGTAAAAGCACTCGAATCTCTCTATGAGAAAGATTCATTTCCAATTTACGATCAACGTCTATATCGATAGTTTTATTATCATTCGAAAGATATTCACACTCTATATATATACCCATAGAATGGAAACTTCTAGAACTTTCTCGAATGTTCTAGAAAATTTTAGAAAAAAACGACAAAAATTAGTTGACAACCCAATATTAAAGTTGCTAACAGGTCACTTATTTCTGGCCTGTAGATTAAATCATACTTATTTCAGTTCCAAAGAGATAGGACAATAAAAAGTTCTTACACAAAGTTGCAAATTAAAACAAATCGTATTATCGAAAAAATTCAATCATGATAGAAAAAACAACATATTATTAGGCATACAGCAACGAGATAAAAAGAAAATGTAGAGAATAACTGACACTTATCATGGCAGGCAAGGGTATTTAAGGCCCCCCCGCGTCAGAAAACCCATTTTTTGAGAAAGTAATCGAAGTCGAGTTTTTGTCATAGGAAGATGCAGCGAAGTTTCTTCTTTCAGAATATATATAAATTTTTACAGACTTTCGTAGGAGATTTCCACATCACTGGCCGGTTTTCGGAGGGATTTTCGCGGTTTTTGTTATTTTTGGGAAGACTACTTTTTTACTTCTATCAGCATGAAATAAACATTCTTATATCATATAGTACGACCTGTATTGCTAGCTTACGTCACCTATTGCGTGCTTTCAAAAATTCCACATAAATATTATCAATATACCATTATTTCCTGCATTTGAATGAAAAACTCCATTTCTAAAACTTCTTTAGCGTTTTTTCTAAAAATGATGGTCGCACGACGCATCTCCAGCGAAAGTCAACTACAATACGATATAAAGTCGAATATATTTTTTTTTTGTTTGAAAGAGCATGCCCAGATGCAGTGTCTATGAGAGCCCCTTTTTTGAAATAGGCTTTGCTTTTATTATATTGAAGAGCCACTGAGAACTTTTGGAGATGCGATAAGCCATTTGTTGACCCTTATTCGGTCCGTATCTCCATTATACGTCACGATAGAAGGCTGAAAATTTCATCACGTGCGTCCTATTACAAGCCCAACATATGCTCCAAATGTCAGCCCGTTTGGATGTTCCTGGACTGAGATCGATTTTTGCGGGGGCCCCCTTAAATTGGACAAAAAGAATTTTCGCAACACGCGAAAATTTCTGCTCAATTGTTTTGGATATAAAATAATTCTTCTGCCACTCAATCTAAGTCCTAAAACATTCTATTGAACTTCGATTCAAGTAATAGTTGCTAGAATAGAATCTACTGTTCAACATATTCTCGAATAATAAGGCGATGCATCAACATTCGATTTCTAAATCATAAAAAGTACAACTCTTTTGATGAAACAAAATATTCAAATTTACTAAATCAATCATAGTGTTAGGATTAAAATATTGGAAAATGTCAACGAACACTCAACAATAATCTGTAACAGCAAAAGTTTTTGATTATTTTAGTTTCATTACCATGATTAATTGATCTATTAAAAATATGATTCACAAAGATTTTATCGTTGATACTCTAGTACACATTTAATTTCATTGAATATTATTTTCAATATTGATTAGATTTATAAAAATCAGCAATACTTATCGATGACATTTCTGAATATTACTCTTAATTATTCAAAAAAAAAAACTATACTTAAAACTATTGAATACTGAAAATTCTTTTTGAAGAAATCATAAATTATAATAACTTTTCTCTTTTCGAACTTTGAAAAATAACAATTCGTTCTTAAACAAAAATTTCTTGTTTATCTATACAAAAAACAAAAACAAAAACAAAAATGTATGATGCATTCTTTTCTTAAAGCTGTTTACGCATGACTCTTCATTAGTATAATATAATATAAACAAGAAGATAAACACGTAAAACAAAAACGAACAAACAAAACATATACATTATTCATTCGTATGATTTTCATCATATTGAGATACAGTGCATACGAATGATCGGATTTTTCTTACTTATCAATAATTGTATCTCTTACAGAAAACAATAGACAAAAGTACAAAAAAAGATGAAATGTTTAATATCTCGGTCGTTTTCTATCAAATCCTTGTTGTTGTTGTTGTTGAATAAAATCATCTCCTCCAGTTGTACGTACATTTGTTGTTAATCCATAACTACGTGCTACTTGATTTGTAGTATAAGCAGCATCAATATTAGCTGCTAAAGGTGATGTTTGTTGCATAAGTGGACTTGAATTTGTATATGAAATTTGTTGAAAATCATTATATTGTAATGCATTAGCAGCTACTTGATTTTGATGAAATACATTACTTATAGAACCAGTAGATACATTAAATGGATTATGATAAGCATCAGGACGATGCATTGGTATTATATTACGACGACGATCTATTTCCTGTGATCGAAGTTCGTCTATTCGACGAAGTTCTTCTTGACGACGTAATAATTCTAGAAACAACATAAGACACTTGCCATTTTCTCTTAATTCTTGTTTTTTTTTTCTTTACGAACACTAATGAAAATGTTCAACTACATCTCTATACTTTATGTACTATAAAAATATCAACTGTAATGTACAAGTAAATCGATCATTCTTAGATTTAACTATATGCAATAGTTATCAGTAGTTTCATAAATAAGCAAAAAAAAAACGTCCGTTTGTATCATATTTTAGTTACAAATAAGGTACGCGATGAACTCTAATTGACATTCATGTAAAAAAGCTAAAAGACTAATACAAATTTTTTGTATTCAAATGTCAACAAAAACTTACAAAGTTTGATTTCCGATTCGAGAGCTTAGTGTTGACTCAAACATTAATAAGAATTTCATGTCAAACAATTTTAGTTTTGCTTGACTTAAGAAGTTATTTTTAGTATGACAGTTAATTATCAAAAAGAATAATCTGTAATTTCGATTATTTTTAATCATCGTGCTGTAAAATTTATTCCAACTAGTTCTCTTCTTTCTAATCAAATATGTCCTAGATATTTCATGATGAGAACGGAAATCTATACAAATATTGTTCTAGATAATAAAAAACGTTCTTGTTTAACAATATCTAAACTGAATGAACTCATCTACCTATGACATAATAATGGTAATGCGAAGCTTTATTTATTAATAAAAAGAATAAATATTAACACTTACAAAAAATAGCAAATAATTGTATTTATTTTCTGAATTCGATCGATATTGAGTTAATGTTTACAATCAGAATTTACCAAACGCTCTTTATTTAGTAACAATATTAGGTAACTACTATCACATTTCAAATGAAATCTTCGTATAAAACAGATAATTATATACAAGTAATCGAATATATAAAGTCAATAAAATCTCAATTAGTTTATTAGTGATGATTATCTAGACAAATTAATTGATGAAAATAAAAACAAAATTTATTTCTTGATCATGTGTATCAAAAAAAAAACAAAAACATTTGATCAGTTTCTGAATTGTTATATATTTCAATATCTTGAAAATACAAATCTTTCTCTTGAGATTAATTATCATTTTAAATACTAAGAATGAATCTAGTCTTATTCATTTCTACTTTGACATTTTGTCAATCGATTTTTAGATCTGTGATATTTTGATATTGAAATTATTCAATGAAAATTTACAACTCATAATAACTATTTTTTTTCGTATTGATTTCTAGTGTTCTTTGATTGAAATAATACATGAATAGTCTTTATATATGACAAGAATATAATTAGATTTCGCACACATCATTTCTAGTTATTGTAAACATTCAATGAACAATTAATTCATTTCTATTTCAATCCTACCTTCTCGTAATACTTGTGATTGATGTTCTAAATACATTTGATCGATTTCAATTTTGACTTGTTCTGTAGCATATTGCATACGTCTTTTAACTTCTTCTAATAATTGTTTTTCTTGTAATTCTAATTCTTTCCATTTAAGACCAATTGTATGTTCAATTGTATTTAATTCAGCAAAACGTGGTTTTGCTTCTCGTTCTCTAAATATACAAAAAAAAATAATAATAATTTCAATTTTTATTTGAATATAATATTAAATATATCTATTGAGACTTACTTTATATATGCTGGATTACGAACTAAAGATTTTTCAGGTAAACCATCTTCTTCATCTTTAATATCCCAAGGTTCAACAATGACAGGTCTTAATTCACTATAAATAAAAAAGAAAATAAATATTGATATGTATTTCACCAAAAAAAAGAAGGAAACTATTTATTAACTTATTGATGAATTTCAATAATATTTAATTATATGTTGTATCTTAAATTTTAATAAGGCTCTTTTTTACTGAGGAGAAAAACTTCATCGACAGCAATTACTTATTATAGATCAATTTCAATATGTACTTAGGGCAAACCAAAAGTTCGTAGAACGGTTTTAAAGAACCTTGTCGGATAAGGTAATCTATTCAGAAATGAAAAGCCAAATATACCATGTTGTAGAGCTTTTTGAGATCGGTCGAATGGTGTATAGTAAATCCTATTTTCATAAAACTTTGAAGGAACTAGAGTCAATTTACTGGTAGACAACTACACACCGATACCCACACTGACAAGATGACCGGAGATGCTACATATATGAGGTTGTAGCCCGTCAAAAACTCTGCAAAATCGTATGTGAGAAAAAATATTCTACAAATACTTTCGACTAATCCCAAGGACCACAATATTCAGTAACCTATCATACTTAGGCGAGGGTGTGAGTATGGGTGCGTAGTCGTCTATCAGTAAATTGACTCTAGTTCCTTCAAAGTCTTTATGAAAACAGGATTTACTATATACCATTCGACGCATCTCAAAAAGCTCTACAACATGGTATATTTTGTTTTTCATTTCTGAATAGGTTACCTTATCCGACAAGGTTCTTTAAAACCGTTCTACGAACTTTTGGTTTGCCCTAAGTATCATATCAAGATAATTCAAAAAAAACCAGCGAATAGGTAATTTTAAGTATTTTCTTCTCTTTCAAAACAATCAGATTTAACTATGTTTTTTATTTCTCGGATGAAATCCTACTCGTATAATTGCTCTTTTTTATTAGAATAAAATATAAGAAAATTCTTTTAAATATTAAATTTTATATGTTCTCTATTTCTATTATTATTATTATATTTTAATATAAAATATTGTTTACCTTGTAATAAAGAAACATCGTTCTGTACATTCATTAAGACATTTTTGTGCAGATGGTTTTTTTTCAAATTCAATTATACCTTCACCAATTGATTTTCCTCGATCATCAACAATAACAACAGCACGTTCAATAGCACCAAAATATTGTTCAAATGCTTCTTTAAGTAATTCATTTGATACATTTGATGATAAATTTTTAACTTTAATTGTTGCACCTTGACTAGCAAAACGTATACGTAATGGTTTACCACGTAAAACATAACCATCAAGATCATATTTAGCTTGTTCAGCTAATTGACGTGAACTCTAGATGAAAACTTTTTCTTTTTTTTTTTTCGAAATTTATTTTAAAAAAAAAAGAATGAAAACATACAAGTTTAATAAAACCAAAACCACGTGATGGATTAACAAAATATTCAATAAGTTCACCATATTTACCAAATAATAATTGAAATTCATCTTGTGTTAAATCTGATGGTACATTACCAATAAATAAACGACAACGACCACCTTGTGTTGTTTTTTTTTCATTAATTTGTTGTTGTGATAATGATATTGTTGAATCAAATATATTTGTTTCAGTTCGTAATCGTTTTTGTCCAATAGATCGTTGTTGTTGTTCTTCATCAGAAAGTTTTGTATCGGTTTTTGTTGTTAATTTATTATCTATATTCGTATTTGATGATTCTAAAGAATTATATGAATTTTCTTCAGTAGATATATTTTCTGTTGATTTATTTGGTGAATCAGTACTAAAGATAAAAATAACAAAAAAAAAAGAAAACTTATTTATGAAAGAAATTACTTTGAATCGATTGAATTTGTTACTGTTTGATTTCGTATAGAAGGCGAATTTGAAGTTGGAGGTGTTGATCTAAATAAATATGTAAACTGTTATATGAGAAAGTTTTTTTTTTTTATAGAGAACATTATATCATACATTGTTGTATCATTAACTGGTTTAGTTGATTGTGAGATATTCATTTGTTTATTTAATTGAGATCTAAAATTTGAAAAAAAAAAAATTTTTTTTATTTATTTATTTGTTAGAATTACTTTTGATCATTTAAAGTATTTCGTGGAATATTTCGATTTGTTGGTACATTAAATCTAATCGAAATTTGATTAAAATAAAATTCAAAAAATAAAAGTTTACCTTGGTGTTGGACGTTCATTTATTAAAGGTCGTGTATAACGTGGACCACCAGTGTAATTAGCCATTTTAATATTTCAAAATAATTATGGAATTAATATCTACAATAAAAATCTTATCTTTTATTTAGAACGAAGAAATCAAAAATGTATTAATATACTTAAAATGATGAATACAATGCAAAACAGCTGTTTTGATGTATTGTTACCATTTTTTAGTTTCAGTTTTTAGTTCCTCATTATTGAACTTAAAAATTGTATTTAAACTTAAAAATAAGTTTTTAAAATATTTTTTATATAATCTTGATGAAGAAAATCTAAAAAGAAAGTTAACAGTATAATATTGATGGTAGCGCTATTCATTTCGATTGGATGTTGATAAATGAATCAATATGAGTGATGATTTTTTTTGAGAAAAATTCATTCGAATTTATTATTCCACAAAACACTCAGTAATCTTTAATAGTAAATAAATTTTAATAGGAACAAAATAGAGCAGTGTGACTTTCAAAGTTCAAGAAAGGCGATGCTGCCGTTGGATAGTTTCCTGAATGATTCAACAATGTTGGTGGATGACTATATTGTCAGTTAGTAGCCTTCAGAGAAATACGCTAGATTCGAATTTGTACGATGCACATTAAAATCCAATTCAAGCGACTTTCAAACTAAAGTCTTTTTTGTTGTTCTCGTAACTGAGTCCTACATAGAATCATATAGTGACATGGTGTTTTTCAAATGGTGATAGTCGTATTTATACATCTTGTTCTTGTCACAAGTTATTCGAGAAACATAGACTGCCACGTGACTTTCAGAACACCCTGTATATATATTAAGTATCGGTCTAAAAGGAAGCAGAGGCTGAATTGAACAGAATTGTAGTAGTCCAAGTTTTTTTTTTCGGTTTCTGATGTAGAACAATCGATAAAACATTGTTTTGATTGTTAAATTGAATATTTCCTGAAGAACATTTTCGAAATCTGATACAAGATAAAAAAATGCTTGTATTTGAGTGAAAAACTTTGACATTTGTAAATACAAGTAATTCAGTTTAGTGCATAAGTCTATCAATCTGATAGGATGAGAAACAAATGTTTCAATTTGTTCAAGTCTGATAGTAACAAACTGATTTATTCAGAGCATTATTCATTTTTGATCAAGACAAAAGATTTCACTATTTATATCCCTTATTGTTTATTAAAGAGCAATAACCAGAATGTATTAATAGAATAACAAATCACCTGCAATTAAAAATGAATAAAATATTTAAAACCTTCATTATGTCCCTTATTATTTCAGTCAATTAAAAGATTCTTTAAGGTATTGGATCAATTTTTGATGTGCGATAACGCATAGTAAATAAAACCAAAGCACCAATAGCCGAAATTATACTTGCTATAAGTTCAAGTGCAGCAATAATATTATTTCTTTTAGCAGTTTTTGGAATCCAATTATTTTCAATAACACCCCAAAAATAAAAAATAAAAACAATCCATGGTGAAAATTGATAAGCACATTTGTCTACCAAAGCTGCATTAAGATTTGGTCCAAAAAAGTATGCAAAGGCAATAATTGCTGCTAAAATTAATGCAACTGTACCAGCATTGACAATTGATAAAGTAAGTCGTAATTGAAGAAATGTATCAAAAGTAAGAATAAATCGAATACCTGAAATAATAGAACATTCAAAATAAATATAAATATTGATAAATATAATCATAGGAAAAGTTAATGATCATTTTACAATAAACTGAAATATAACAGAATCGCATGTATATACTTGGGGCATACCAAAAGTAATGAAACCAATATTATATCAAATTATAGAAAGTTTTTTTCCATATGTACTTGTAGCGCTAGAAGTACTTAACATGTCTACAAGATATCATGCACTTGACTTTTAATGAATGATACTCTGTTTTTGACAATGAGACTAATTTTACAATATGATTGATCTACGGTCAAAATTGTTTCGTGAAGATCGAGAGAGAGCATCTGAAAAGATGAAAGGCGTTTGTTGTTTTATTGATGAGAAACTAATTTAAGTCACAGTATCATTAAACAAATCATCTCTGACCATGTAAAACTAAAAAAATAGCTACTACTTATTGGATACGCGATTTCCTGATTAATAACCAACGAGTCGAATTTATTCAGCTTTGTCAACAAAATTTGGTGAAATTCGAGCAAGGAACATGGCAATTATGTAATGTAGTGCTAAGTGACGAATTATGTTTTTATCTCAAAGAAATTGATCGAACTCTACCTATCGTAATTCAGTGTAGCTGTTTGCATTCTTTTTAAAACGACTAGTTCTGTGCTAATCTATTATGTTGATAAAAGAATAAATCATCAACTATTACTATTACGTACATAATTGTCTGAAACCTTTCATCGGTGAGCTTCGGACAAAAACGATAGCTTCTCATAAACATGCTAAAAGTACATGTTCATAAAGCTGTTTCGAAGTATTTCTAATCTAAAGATTTTAGAATTCTTCGTAATTTTTTATTATTCGATTTGATCAAACAAGATCGAACCTATCAAAAAAAAAAACTCAGAATATAATTTTTGTGTGGTTTGTTTTCTCTTCAAAATCTCATTATTTTCAGTACATGCTAAGTGTAAATCAGCAATTCTTATTCGAATGAATTATCTTATTAATAGTAAGAATAATTGAAAAGTATTTTTACAAACCTATCCAACAAGCAAAGAAAGCTACACCATTTTGAGCAAAAAATCGTAAACACCAAATATCTCGATTACTAAACAAAAACAAAAAAAAATAAAGTTCAATGAATTTTTCAAATCAATTCTTTTTCAATCATTTACAATCCATCAGTTTCATAAATTTTCTTATTGATTGATATATTATTATTTAATATAAATAAATCCAATGAAAGTAGTAAAAATGATAATAAATAAACAACCCAAGTCCACTAAAATATAAAAATACGTTTTCAATAAGATCAAAAACAAAAGAAAAACTTTTCTTACAGCTACATAAGATCTTTGAAAAAATAAAATCCATATTGATGGAAAAAGAAAGGCAAGAATATAAATAATATAAAACATTGGTGTTAATGTATTTGGTGACAAATATAAATAACCAATTGATGACCGACGATAAATAAATGTTAATGCATAAAGAAGCCAAGCGAGCTAAAAAAGAATTTTGTGTTTTGTTTTCGTGTCAAAAAATGATCTATAATAAAAATTTTACCTGCCATATATAATTCAATCTATTTAAACTTCGATAAACCCAATCGGATGGAGTAATATCATTGACAACTACATCTTCGGCACGTAATGTTTCATTGACGGATATTTCTGAAATATAATATAATAAAAATTGCATTCAATTAAATTTAAATAAGCTTACGTTTATTGCCATAATCATATAATTCATTAACAGCCATATGACCAATAAATAAAAGAAGTGTACCAACAAGAAGTGCTAAACGAACATAATTATGACGATATTCGCCTGTTGCAGGTTGTTTATTGACCAACATTTTTCACAACTAAATAAATAAAATATTTAAATAATAATTTTATTATGAAACTTTTTGAAAGTTATTTCTATAGAATATGCTCATGTATTGACAGGTTTGAGCAAAAACTTTATTAAAAGTAATGTTTTGGACTAGAATATCTACAGATATTTTTGAAAAATTGTGATTGATCTTCTTGTTGTTCTCGGAAAGAGACACTCGAAAGTAACTGAACAAAGTCGAAAATGTTTTAGTCCGAAATATGATGGTTTTTCTGAATTCTTTCGATCAACTATGATGAAGTTTGCTTATTTTCATTGTTCAGATTTATCGACTTCGGATTGGTTTCATATTTTCCTAAAATTTTTGATGATTTACATCATTTTCTGCTTAAAACCATACTACTTTCTTAAATGGTAGAAAACCTTTTTCGGTTCTTCTCTGTTTAATATTTTCTGATTTCACAATGTAGAATTCTTCAAAGAGTTTTACTAATTGCGGAAAAAAAATGTTGTACTTTTTTTGGATGAAAACTTTGAATTTTTTTTAAGCATCTTCATGATTTAGTGTTTTTTTGAAAATATATTGATTATCTCAAAGGAAAAACATTTCTATTCTATTTACAGATAAATATTTAAGTACATAAATAAACATTTCGACTTCCCTTCCTGTAGATCCTGACCGACATAGTTAGGTATGTGTACGTCACAGAAACCTTAGCAACATCTCCTCCTAAGTCACAGACTATGACAGATATTGTCGATATACAATTACAAATTGTATACATATGTACCCAAAACAGATAAAATAAAAAATCTCTCAATAATTACTAACATCATAGTTCAACATTTTAATCTGACTGAATTTAATTAACAACTTTGTCTACTTATTCAAATATTTTTAAATTCTTCAACTTACCTCTCCAAAAAGATAAACACAATATAAGAAATGACGAAGATGAGTAAAACTGAGAACTGCGCTCTACTTCACACTTTCGTTTCAAATGATAAATCGAATAAAAAAAAAGGGGGGGGGGATGGTGTGATATTTAGAGAAAAAACAACATGAATAATAGTCCAGCTGCTGTCTTTTTGCTATTATTCTAATAAATAGAAAAAAAAACAATCACATTCAATTCCAAATATATTATCTTATGGACCCATTAATATCGTTAATCATACATGAATACAATTGAGAATCACAAAAAAAAAACCTATTTAAGTTTTAAAAAAGGAAAAGAAATAAGAAAAACAAGAAAATGAGTTAAATATTAGCTCCAATTCCAATATTCATCTGTTTCTATACTTGATGAAAAAGATCTTATTGATATATTTGGAGTTGTATAATTAAATGAATTTAATTCAAATAATGTACTTGATATACTAACAATAAGTATTAAAACCATTCCAATAATAAATATAAACAAAGAATAAAATAATATTTTACCAATACGTCTTTTAAGTAATATTCGTTGATATTTTCTACCATCATCAACAAATTTTGTTTTTGATAAATCAATTAACATCTCAGTTATAGCTGGTGGACAAAATTTTGATGCTGCATTATGTGCATCACCAC